TTGAAGTGAATTTCAAAGCTTCAATTATCTTTCCGTAATTTCTTAAATTTTTTTTATAACTCTATTGTAGGTTTATTAATATAGCTTTTACGTTTATTAATATAGGTAGGTTAAAAATTAATACAGGTTTATCTATATAGATTATAGATTGATTGTAGATTTATTAACATAGGTTACAAAATGAACGACAATCCAATGGTCAGTGGAATATGTCTCGTATTTTTCGCGAGATAACTCCAGATCGAGAAACTTTGATACATCGGTGCCAACGTGTGGGGCTTCTCCCAATTCGGCGGTTTTGTCCGAAAAAGCGGAACAAGTTCCGAAGCCGTACCTACATTATAAGAATAGTGAATAGGTTAGGTTATGCTACTTTTTATCGGGTGGGGGTGCAGGTGGAGGGGCGGAGCTGATAGTTGATAGTTTCTTCATTTCCGGTGACACTTGAAGGGTGGTGGCTGCTGGGGAGTAGATTTAATAGCGCAATGCGCCCTTTAATAGCGCTGGTATATGTAAGTGTAAACTTGGAAACGGTAGAGCGGGTTATGAACCCCTCGAGGCTCACAAAACAATGAGGTTAGGTTAGGTTCCGTGTATGCGCAGTATCGAATAGCATATGTTCAGTATTGAATAGCACATGCGCACTAATGAATTGCGCATGGTCAGTATCGAATAGTGCATACGTAGTCCTGGAATTTTACAAAACTTCTTACTACGATATTTCAAAAACGGTAAGACATCCAGCTCTAAAAACAATTTTAATCGGTTTCTGGTAGTCAATTTAGGTTATATGCCAAACCCGAGTTCTCAATTCTAACGGGGCCATTCGGAAACTTATCCTATTCGAGCATTTGTAGACATGTATTCAATGTTTGCTGCTCGACTGTTTCCAGTTTTTTAAAAATAAAATGTTGTAAGATATAAGGTGTTGCAATTCTATCATTACATCCTAAAAACAATAGTTTTTTGACATAAATAGGTCAATACATTTTTATTCAGAATACCGAGATGTATCGAACAGTGCATAAAAAATTATATAATTCCAATAAAAAAAATAAATATGACCTTCATGTGTCCGTCATGTTTACACTTACAAACAAAATACCGGCGCTGGATTACGTCCCCCTCGAAACAAAATAACTTTTTTATGAAACATTTTTTCAAATAACGAATAGTTCTCAAGATAATCGCATTTATTGATTAAAATGGGACACCCTGTACTGTACAAGTATAAAGAAAGAATTAAAGAAAAAAGGACTCATTATAGTAAATGTTATCAATAATATCAAGTGGAAATAGGGGGTGCTGCAGTCCCACAGTGCCTATACGCGAACCGCCACTGCCTGGTAGTATTATCCGTTAGCTCTTTAATGGGGGCATTTGTTAAGTTTCCATTTCCCAAAAATTCCGTCCCCTACAACCCCAAATATAGAAAGTTATCAAAAGTCCACTATATGGGGAGAAAAGGAAACAAGAAAATGAAGAAACAAAGCAGAAAAATACGAAAACTTTTATTGAAATATGGAAGCAGAGAAAATAAACTTTCAAAAAATATTAAGCCTGTAATATTGATGTCCAAAGATAACGATTCTCCGCCGTTAGAATTTCTTCGTGCTTAATTTTTTTATTTTTTCGCTCCACCATTCAGCAGTTTACTTTACAATCGTCGACACATTCAATTCGAATTGCACATGTTTCACATACTTTAGTGCTGCAGGTTGCCTACGACATTTCACTTTTCCGTAATTTTGTAGGTTTTTAAGTAAATTGATAATAACTTTCCAGTTTCTATTAACCCTAGAATTCCCTTGGCTCGAACCTTAGGGAGAGGATCTTAGGGAGAGTACCTAGTTTTTCTTATACTTTTAACATCAAAGTAGTTGTTTCTTAAAGAAGGTTTAATAAAATTTAAGGTTTCATAAAATAAGTACCATATTTTTTTACGTTGAATTCATTTTTCTTTGTATGTATGTATTTATAGTGAATCATGTCTAAATTCTTCTAATGTGAAATATGAATAACATATTAGATAGCAGTCAGTATATTTACTAAATGTTTTCTGTATACATCAGTTTTACATTCGTGATAATATTATTTTAATGCAAATAAACTAATATTATATTTCACGCTTTTATTTTTCACTTTCTTAAACATTGATAGCACTTTCTTTTTCTTTCATGGGTACTGCCTTAATTATATAATAGATTACAATACATATTTTTTTTCCTTCGTCTGTCAGTTCACTATCAGATTTTGCGATCCAAATTTTTGCTACGTGATTTTAACTACTAATTTTATTTGCATGCACTATCATATAACAATAACTCTTGCTTTTATAACGAAATGAATATTCACTGTGTTCTGTTCGAATGCCTGGTTTCAAATGAGAATGCTGTTACGTCAGTGGTATCTAAGAACTTGTACGCGTTGCAGTAGTCGACTTCATGATTCGTTCAATAGATGAAATCGCGGCTTGTGAATAAATGCACGTACCGTCCACTGGGCACAAGAAGTCCAATGAGAATAACGTAATCTGATTGATCGCGTCACACCTCAGTTCACACGTACTTGGAGTCGTGACGTATGATTGGTCGAAGCGGTCACACCTACTAATTAGGCTTATATAAAACTAGGGGGTCAGTCGATGTGTGCGTAGTACTCCCTCTTGCCCCTGTGCCGTCCCACGAGACTTCTTGTAATCGGTAGACAGTACTCACTTAGCTGGTGTTCATTTTGGTGGAATAACCCAAATACTGTTCTTTACACATGCTTCGCATGTGTTAGGTTAAATTAGGTTAGGTTAGATTATACATAAGAGTCAATATGGCGTCAAACTAACCTCAAAAATGCCCCCAAAAACGTTGAGTTTTACATATCTAGATACCCATAGCTAACTTCTGGACGTATGGATTCTGAAACTTAAAATGTGTTACGTTTAATTTTCTTTATCGAATATCAGAATATATAAAAGATATTCATAATTAATCGATTTCGAAAAAGGAGGAGGTTACTCAATTCGATCAGTATATATTTTTTTTGTGTCATCCAAAGTAAAATGCAACCCAATAGTCTTATCGCTCATGGCAATCTCATACAGGAGAATGCTGACAGGGAAAGAGAAATGGAATGTAAAGCAGGTAGATTAGGCGTTCTTCTTTGCTTATTTCATTATGTCTGCCATCGCTGCAATTTTTCATTCAAGCAAAATAACCGCAATCAATAATTTTCGACATACGGATTTAAAAACCATCTTCCTCGAATTTTCAAGTTAGCTGCTGTAATTCCTTTGGAAAGATAATAATTTTCTTTGTAAATGCTAAAATGTTTTTATTTCCGCATCTGCTAACTTTCCATACTTCCCCCGTTTTATAATTTTCTTAAAATATCTGAATATACTACATTTCGAACGATTCTTCACTGTTACTAGCTCCTACTCAACTTGGAAACAAAAATATGCGATGTGCGTTGTTATTTTGCTGGTCTAATTTTTCAGAAAATCTACAATAATAAGACCAAAAATTGAGAGGCAATATTTACATGTCAAAATGACGGAAGTCGCATTCAGAATACAAACGGTGAAATGTCCAAGGGATAAACGATGTGTGTCACCAAATGTAAAATTTCCAGTATTTAGAAAACAAACTTTGTGAACTCCTTTCAACTGTACACGATTTAAAAATTGATATCCTTTCTTTTTATAATGGATTGATGAATGCTTTCATAAATTTTATGAAAATAACATTTGTTTTTGTAGCTTGAATTTTAATCTGAATGTTATTTTAATAAAAAAGAGTATGGGCTCTGATTAACTTATCCTAAATAAAATAATTTTTAACAAAAAATACAACCGACTGAAACGTACTAAAAAGTATGAAATAATTTCCATTTCCTAATGAAATAATTTCTATCTCATTTGTACAAATACCCAACAGCTATTAATAAAATCTATTTACTCGTTAAATAGTATACAAAATACATTTCAGCCTTTTCAGAGGTGGCGCAAAATTAAAAACTTTTCTTCTACTAGGAAGATCCTAGTTCAGGCGTCGGCAACCTATCAAATCGTTATTGGCAGCATCGTATATTCGGGTATTTTTAATTTCGCGCCGCCTCCGAAAAGGTTGAAATATATTTAGTATAATATTTAACGAGTAAATAGGTTTTATTAATAGCTGTTGGGTATTTGTATAAATGAAATGAAATTATTTCATACTTTTTAGTGCATTTCGAAGTCGGTGGTATTTTTTGTTAAAAATTATTTTATTTCACACTTTTTAGTGGAACGAGCAGTATTTGTAGAATGCCGTAAGGTGGTTTGCTGTTGTTATTGGTTAATTGCAATAACGACAGTTTTTAACGATAACAAGTTCCATAAATTTCTGCAAGTGAGATATCGCGGAAATATCTCCTATTAGATGTGAAAGGTTTCATCGCAATCGGTACATGCCTTACAGAGTATACATACATATATGTACCGCAGTTCACCAGAGTCCATAACTGCAACGCGCAGGTTGGAAGATGGTGGGGGAACGCAGCGAGCTCTCTGCTAATCGCTTTCTACTTCGTTGGACGTATCGCCAATCAGGGCGGAGATGCGCACGAAAGAACGAAAACTGGTTTCCGCAGTTATGGACTCTGGTGAACTGCGGTATAAAAACAGTAGAGAACTGACAACTGCATGCTGACTCATACACCGGTAGAGACACGTAAGCATACGTAGAATTTAATATAGTAATAACAATAGTTTTTCACGAATATTTCGGAAACTAAAGCTTTCCGTTAATTATACATAATAAAAAAGTTGTTCAGAATCATGTCCCCGACAACATATTAAAAGGTCATTGAAATTGTTCAATCTTGACATTAAAAACTTCCTGTATTTTGCAATAACAATGAAAAAATGAAAAATTTTTTTCAAAACACAAAAAAAAACATACTGATCGAATTGAGTAATCTCCTCCTTTTCGAAGTCGGTTAAAAACAGAATTTTTTTATGCTCATTTCCCTTTTTTTAATTCTTTTCTTTTTATTCTTTTTGTATATTGATGGTGGAAGAGAGACTCCTGCTCCTATGCTACATACATATTCACCTAATTGAACTTTGATGATTCTTCCATTAAAAAATTGTGAGATTGATCGGTCTTCCTTCAACTAAGGATTCTTTGGTCCTTCATTTTTCTGTGCTGGACTTGTTTCTCACATTTACTATACTGCAATTTAATCATTTTTCTTAAGCTCTAGCATATGATTCTAAAATCTCAATTTCGATTTAGAATGGCCTATGTCGTTATTCCCCTGAGCACTTCGTATGCAAAAATAAATTTAAAAAAAACGAAAGACACTTTTTTTGTTGAGGCTTCAATTTCGAGAAAATCGAGTTTGAAATTTGATCAAGTGCAGGTGTACTATCTTCTGCTCGAATGCTTTTTGTATGGACGTTAATAAAGTATCGACGAGTTTCTTTTTTATACAAGCATCAAAATTGCATGGCACATTTTGATAAATAAATTGCAGGCATTTAATTGATTTAAAAATTAGCGGCGAAACGTTATATATTTTTACACTTTTCCACACATGTTACAAAATTTGCACTGTATGCTATTCCTTTATTGTGATTTGTGGCATAAAGCTAAAAATTATCGAAGTTTCGTTGACGGGGCGTGAGGTTTAGTTGATAACAGTGTTCAATAAATTGAAGCTTTTCCCATTTTTTTACCCTGCCTATAAATCGTTATAAGCTGAATACGAATCCATGAACCTCTTTTCTCAGATCCTGTAGTTAAAAAAAATGAAATAATTCTATAAAACATTGAAATCTGAATTTTTTGGGATGTCGATTTTGAGAATCTAGAATTTTGCAATTCTGAAATCTAGGAAATCTAAAACCTTGAAATTTTGAAATTTTGTAAGCTTAAAATGTTAGAATAGAGAAGGTCCACATTTTTGGGAATGGGGCATCCAAATTTTTTAGGGGGGCTAGAACCGTCCTCGTTCCTATCTACTTACGTCACTGCTTACGTTACTAAAAGTAACACATTTCATTTGTCTTACGTAAAGCAACTCGTTTGTTTTCGTTGTCACGAGAAACATCACGTATCATTTTTTACCGCAAAGTGTATCCTTCGTAGCGATGAAAAGAAGCACATTTGTTTAAGTAAGTATGTATTATTGTTAGAACACGTTGAAGAAGAGTGGAAACATGTTTCATAGTTCAGTGTTTTTAATACAAGACGAATATAAAATATATTAAAGACAACACTTTAATTAATTTACTTATTTATTGCTTTAAATCGTACGTGATTTGTATGGCAGATACAAAATGTATTAAAAATAGTGCAGATATTCTATCTTATAAATACGCAGTTTATTCAACAGTTTTACATTGTGTACAGTTATTTTGTGTACGTAATTCAGAAAAAAAACCGGTAATAGTTAAATTAGTATGTGTTTTAAACATTATCGTTTGAAATACAACAAAGTAAAAATAGTCCTTTTTATAATATTTATGTTTGTTAAATGAGCAAGTAAAAAAGCTATTCTTTATAAAATACAAATAAAGTAGGAAAGAAAAAAAGAAAATTCAATAAATGTTTATGAATTCTCTTCCATTGTTTATTGAAGTTTTATTTTATTATTGTACAAATATTTTAAATTATTTTGCATGTTTTAAATATCTCATATTATTCACTTGTACATTGCACATGTATTGCCGTCGAGATTTCATTTTTCTATTTACATGGCATGAAAATATATATCTGCATGAACTTCGCTGCTTATTAATTTCTGTTGAAAATATTGTATGAAATAATGCTAAAGTGACAAATAAGGAAGTAACAAAACATTACAAAATCGATTTGTGATTTTGTGTATACTTATTATCCAATCCTTTGAATTTGAATGTAATTTATTTTAAACAATTACCTCTTTTGAAGAAAGTTTACATTTTATAATTAAAAATCTGATTTTACTTTATTACACAATCACTATGAAATTACTATTTTACAATTAACTATCATCAGTGCATTTTGTTGTAGAAATGAAGTATAAGTTATTTTACACTTTTTAGCGCATTTTGAAATCGGTTGTATTTTTTGTTAAAAATTATTTTATTTCACACTTTCTAGTGGAACGAGCAGTATTTGTAAGATGCCGTAAAATGGTTTACCGTTCTTCTTGATTAATTGCAATAACGATAGTTATTAACGATAACAAGTTCCATACTTTCTTGCAAGTGGGATCATCGCGGAAATATCTATTAGATGTGAAAGGTTTCATCGCGATCGCTATATGCCTTGCAGAGTAACACCAAAGAATAGACTTTTTGCTATAACAATAGTTATTAACAATAACAAATTTCACAAATTTTTGCAATTGGGATCATCGCGAAAATATCCCCGATTAGATGTGAAAGCTTTCATCGTGATCGATACATTCTTTGCAGTATAAACGCCGAAAGATATAAATGAAGTATTACGTTTTTTGCGATAAAAGTCTTTAGGAATGAAAAAATGGAACATGTTTTTTTTACGAGACCAAGTGAGAGAAATACTCCACAAAATTCAAAAGGTTTCGTTCCGATTGGTCCATCCGTCTCAGAATAATCGGTGAACATACATTAAAAAAAAGTCGCTAGGAATGAAAAAATTCAAAATATTTTTTTTACGGGACCAATCGGGAGTTATACTCTACAAGATGCAAAAAGTTTCGTTCCGATTGGTCCATTCGTCTCGGAGTAATCAGTGAACATACGCAGAACGTATATGAAACAGTATGTTTTTTGCAATAAAAATCGTTCGGAATGAAAAAATGTAAAATGTTATTTTAACGGAACCAGTTGGGAGACATACTCTACAATTTACAAGATGCAAAAGGTTTCGTTCCGATTGGTCCATCCATCTCGGAGTAATCGGTGAACACATATAGAAAAAAAATATATATTTACTGATCGAATTGAGTAACCTCCTCCTTTTTCGAAGTTGGTTAATAAGATTGAAACATTGCAAACTAAAAAAATGTGGTGATTTTGTTTTTTTCTGCGAGAGAATGAACTATATGCGTAAATCGGTCGCAACAGTGCACGTCCTTCTTTTTATTTTTTTGGCGTTGTGATCGATCTTGTTTTCAGTTAGTCCACGGAATGCCCACGTGCAGTGTGTATTCTTTCTTAATTATGTATTTCATTATATAAATATAGTCTTATCAGTTTAAGTGTGTAGTGTTAAAGAAATTCTCACAATTTCAACAAATTACACGCATTCAAATTGAATATATTGGATGATAAGTACATAAAAAATTAATTTAAGCAAATTAATCAAAATCAAATTACCAAACATACTATAAGAGTCTTTCTTTCTTTTTCTTCCACAATCTGAAATCCTTCGATAAATTCCAATTGGTTTTAAATAAATATACCTACGTTCCTCTTTTTTATCGGTGGTTCATTATCACTGAAATTATTTTAAGCAATGTTCTTTTACGATCGTTTCAGAAGAAAATTTCCACAAAGCTTCGTTCCGTCTCAAAGATAATACAGTTTCGAAAGGATATAGACAAAGCAGTCTTTAAATTCAGGAAATCAATTGAAATTCACCGTTGCTTTAATTGGATCCAAGCTATAGAGCAGATAAAGCAGACTGGAAATAAAGGAAAAGTAAGATGCATCTCGCAAACTTCAACGTGGCATCCACTATTCGGCTTCTAGCCGAAGTGTAAGTGATGCATCATTGAAAGCATAAGTCAAAAGATGAACGGATTGAAATTTTTCACCTAACTGTGAAAACTTCGACGACAGTGTCAAATGGGATGCCAACGAGCGAACATTTTGTCGAATCCTTAAGCTTCTTCAAAGTAAAGCGACAACCGGCAACCAGAGCGGACAGTGAGTGATTAAAGTTAAAATTGGACGATTTTGGTTTCCGTTGCGTCCAATCTTTCAGGACCGTATAGTGAACCCTTTGACGCGAGTGATTTCACGACTTTACCTAGAAACAGCAATCCCGTCGATGCTTAATTGAAATTGCGCGCTGATTTTTCGAATCAATTGATTGCTGTGAGGCTGTTGATTTCTCGTCGACGTCGAGATTAACGAGGCCCAATTGGCAAGCTCCAGTTTTCGTGAGACGATTCATAAAACGTGGTAATTGTTCGAACGAACGGCGTGTGTGTTAGTGTTCCCTTGTGTCCGCGGGCGGAGACGAACAGATTGCCTTAACATGGGTTGCGAACTTAGCAAACTTGCGACCGCCAAGTCGCCGAATCAAACTGTTACAGATCCACGACTTCCACTCACGGCGAGACAAAAATTTACGGTTATGGCTAGCTGGAAAGCTGTATCTAGGGCACTCGAGCCAACTGGAGTCTACATGCTTATAAGGTCTGTATCGTTCATTTCTTTATATATACAGAATTAAGTCAAATACCATGCAGGATTTTTCAGCTGGACGTATAATTTTATCATTGTTAAAATTAAGGTTCTTGAGGCTTCCGTGGTTCGATTCTGAATAAGACTTAGCTTCCGGGATGGAGCCGCGTTGTTTGACGGTTTGTTGCCGACGTTTCGCAAACATTACAGTATGCTTCATCAGGGCGAGATATAACCTGATACTGGTTGCTCCCGTACAGGGTGTCTCTATTTAACCTGAACTGGAGTCGCTGTAGCGTGACGTTCCAGTTGAGTGGATATAACCAATCGGGTGGCTGTTTTTAATTGAATGGCCACTCAACTGGAACGTCACGCTACAGCGACTCCAGTTCAGGTTAAATAGAGACACCCTGTACGGGAGCAACCAGTATCAGGTTGTATCTCGCCCTGATGAAGCATACTGTAATGTTTGCGAAACGTCGGCAACAAACCGTCAAACAACGCGGCTCCATCCCGGAAGCTAAGTCTTATTAATTGTTAAAATTGTTGCTTTGTACCACATGATTCCTAAAACTGGGGTAGGACCCGAGGAGGGATGATTGCTGAGGTAATTCTAAACAACCTTTTCTTTTGCCAAAATGTTGGTTAAGGCTTCGTTTTCGAGTTATTAACGAAAAACACTGGCCAATCAGAGGCCAATCAACACAGGCCAGTCTTTAGCGCGGGCCGAACCACAAGAGTGTTGGGCATGCTCTGCGTTCAAGCCGTGGTCGTGATCAAGTGCATCGGCACCACGTCGGTGTAATAGGATTCGTTGGTCATAAGCAATCAATAATTCGATACTATTATTCCTTTCTTTTTTTAATTCATTATTCGATACAACTTTTGCCCAACGAATGCTATTATACCGACGCGACGTAGTGCTGATGCACTTGATCACGGCCATGGCTTGAACGCAGAGCACGCCCCACACTCTTGCGGTTCGGCCCGCGTTAAAGGCGCGCTCTGATTGGCCAGTGTTTTTCGTTAATAACTCGAAAACGAAGCCTTAACCAACATTTTGGCAAAAGAAAAGAATTACCTCAGCAATCATCCATCCTCGGGTCCTACCCCATTTCTGGGACACCCTGTATACTTTAATATAATGTAATATTTTTTAATCCGTAAACAGCGGAGTCTGAATCGATCGAAACCCAAACTTACGAAACATACAGAAAGATATTAACCTAAAGTTAAATGTATAATTTCTAAAAAGTTGCATACATGTATGGGAAGAATAATTTTTAATGGAACAATGTTAGATTTAGAAAATTAAAATAGTATGAAATGCATGATTGAATTAAAATTGGGGCTCTCTCCATGGTCCGCCGTTCGAGGGTTAATACAAGAATAAATTTAGAGCTGTAGCTCTAAAACTGTAGAAGATAAAACTAAATCCCATTTGGTAGAATTAAATGACGTTGGATTAAACATCGCGTGATGTACAGTGTCAGTTATGAAAATGAAGGCATCCCTTTGAAATAATTTGTCATTTCTTTCAATGTTAAATTTTCGGGCCATCGCTAATTTGGGAATACTTAATTTTCCTACAATTTCCCGGCATTCTTAAAATTGTTAAATAAAGATTCTTGCTTTAGGAAAATTTTGAAATGGATCCCGACTGCTTTGAGTCAAACGTTGGAATGTCAGAATAGTAAAGTAATGAATAGAATAATAAAATTAGTTAGTGTATGTGATAGAAAAATTCAAACAAAAATAGTTTCGTGCTGAAAAAATGTTTTCAGTGAAGAAGTTATTCCTAATATCGTATGTATTACAATAAAAGGTACAAAAGAATATCGTATGAGGTTGCTTGTTTTTGTCCTCTTAGGCTTTTAATTATATATTCATACACAAGATTGACGCAGTTAGGTATTTTATTTTTCGTTTTAGTTCAATAATTTCTTACTTTAAAACTGTGAATACAGCGTGTGAAATAACTTCATTTCTTAATAATTTAGGAAGCATTCAAATGTTTTCGTGAGCAACTGTAGATATTATCTTAATGAAACAGTCTTCGGATTACGTAGACTTCTTGAAAAGGGTACTCGACAAAAAATGAGATCTCCTACCGTACACACGATATCAAAGAAAATCAGTAATTCAAGAGTCGTTCTTATCTACCCTTTTACCCAATTACGATATCCGTGTCGGTACACAATATCGTTAAACACCGATAAAGGTAGTATTCGTGAAGAAATTAAGCTCCCCTCAACGATCTACGCCACTACGCAAACGACTACGAGGGAATATCAATGGAATCGTTGTTGTTAATTCCTTCAGCTTTCTGATATCCGTGGAAATTGATTATATCTACTCAACAAACGAAAATTAACAGTAAGGTGAATCGTGCTTTTAATCTGATTGAACAGTTATCTTCTAGAATCATGAATTAAAATATGTTAATTATGAAGATTACAATCACAAAGTTTTAAACTTTTCTTCCGTCTGTATATGATCACATAAATTACTTTCTATAAAATGTGCAACAATTAAATACAATGTTCCCTTTCCCTCAGTGGTATAACCATTGTCTGATAGGAAGGTCACAAAATATTTTTTCATAATTTATTAGAATCCTGGTAATATTAAATTTATTTTTCTTCATTTTTGTTTATTCCTAATAAAATTTTTTGAAACTTTCAAGAATATTAATCAAAAGGTTTCTATTTTATTAATAGGGATCTCCATTAGCCCTTTTAACTACCTTCCTAGTTACGCTACTGTTCTCCGGTATTGTGTAAAATATTTTATATTTTTTTTACGCCTGTTTCTGTTATTCATGTAATTTTTTATTTATCTTTTTGTGTATATCACTTCAATCTTTTCTCAAAAATCCCCTCTAATAATCATTTTATAATTAATTGCCAGAGTTTTGGTAGAATTTTAATTTGTGTTTGATTGCTGCTCGTATTGTATAACTTTAACTTACCTAAGTACTTTCCCATATAAAATCTTATTTGGTTGGATTAAACTTCTCGTTTCCAGATACTCTATCTTTTCAATCTGCAGATATGATCCTCGAAGGCCAATTAGTTCAACATCAGGAAGTTGCTACAGCGAGAGCTGAACTTAATGATTTCCTTTGCGATTGTAAAAGTACCTAGGTTAGAATGGATTATTTTATTTTATTCATACCACAGGGTTTTATGCATTTTGCTTCAACTTTTAAAGTATCCTAATTTTGTAATTACTGATTAATACTAAAACCTGAATCTTATAGATCCATATCAATTTTAATACAATCTTATAAAAAATATATGTATATAGTCTGACCAAAAGCAGTGAGACTATGTTTAAAAATTTTTCTATGCTATATTTCTAAAAATCGAGGTGATCTTCTTCGAATCAGTTGTTTCCTTGAAAATTAATTTGTCAATGGAGACGGTTCTCTTATTCCTTGAAACAATGCTGAAAGTTTTTATTCTTTAGAGTTTAGAGCAGGGACGCTTAAACAAGTTTCCCGCACGAGCGCCCTAGTGCTGTCCGACTTGTTACGTGCATTGTTGTCTCTACTACTTACTGCGATTTATCGTCGGCGATCGGTAGTGGACTAGCGTGTAACGCTGAAGTTGCCGCCCAAACAACTCTCGCTTGAGACGAAGACGTAAATACTGTCCGCTTGCGATGAGATGGCACTTATTATTAGATGGTATGCGGGTAGGATTGGGAAAATTGCGTTGAATCCACCCCTTTCTAATACAATTACGGAAAATATGACTCATGGAATTTCGTCATTTGTTCAAATGGTCACATGTACTGGAAATCGATTGAAGTACCCCTCCCGCGTACTATCTTGTCCCATGTAAGTGTCCCACAATCTGATTGATTGTGCTCCATCTCAGCTCAAACGTAATTTTTCAAACGTCACGTATTATTGGTCGAGGGGGTCACATCTACTAATTAGGCTCACATAAAACTCGTTTTATATTCTCGTTTTTATGTTGGGAGATTAACACTAGAACTAGCAAACCAGTCAAAATGACTGGTTCAAATTTTCTTATTTTAAGTTATAAATTTGATCGATATATTTTTGTTAAAATGTATGTTGGCTATTGCCAAGATAAAGAATGGATGTATATATTTAACCATGTTTCATTCTTTATCAATTTAATTTTCTACCTTATTTTCAACTTAAAAATAAGCGTGCTTCAAACGTCGGTAGTTCTAATGTTAAAAGAAATTGGCGGGAGTGAGATCTAACTAGGAATGATACCAAACCAGGAAATTAAAAAATTTATGAAACATTGTAATTCCGTAGGGAATGTCCTCATGATTAAAATGCAACGGGCGTAAAGCGCCTGGTGGGTGTAGTTGTTAACCCACTCAGGTTAGTTTTTTCGACCCAAGAATAAAACTGCTTACGGGGTAACATCACTCTGAGCGCTAAAATATTAAGGTCTATTTTAATGAATTATTGTGAGCAAACGGTACAAGATATCGGTATTTGTTTTTTTTTTACGTTATAACACAAGTTTACATAGTGCTCGAATAAAATTAATATTTTTTCAAAGGATCTTCACGATTGGACAATTTTCTGCGATCCTTCAGTATCTGAGCAAAAAATTCTAAAAGTTTATAAAAGTAGATAAGGTTTGCCAGCAAAGTACGTAGGACTTTTTTGATTGGTTTTCAAGTTTCCATTTTATACGCATTTTTCGGCTAATTCTTTTACGAAAAAATAAATTTTTTCCTTCAATATCACGCCCTTTTACGAGAAATTGATATTTCTGAAAAATTCTATGTACTTTGCTGGCGAATCTTATCTACTTTCATAAACTTTTAGAATTTTTTGTCCAGATACTGATGGATCGCAGAAAATTGTCCAGCCGTGAAGATCCTTTGAAAAAATATTGGTTCTATTCCAGCACTATGGAGTCGCCATTTTGTTTTTAAGTAGCCAAGGAAAATTTTTTTTATATACACCGAAATATGTATTATAACGTAAAAAAAACAAATATCGGTATCTTGTA